GAATAGTTCTTTTGATCCCATTTGTTTGAAAAGAATAAAACAGGAAAACAGTGCTATGACATCTGTCTATAATTATGCGAGATTAACCAGTGTCAGAGCTCCCTGGTTAAGTATGTTTGTAAGCTGCAGTGCTTAACAAATAGTAAATTGTTAGGGGGATACAGAATAAATACTGTACATTACTTTTTGTGGTTTAGAGATATCTGATCTTTTCCCAGGTGGTTGGTTATGACTTTAGAAGGTCTTGGAAATTTTAGGAAAAATCTTTAAGTTTAATTTGTGATCCTACCTTATAAAATATATATGTTGTATATACATGTATAGGTGTATATGGATAGTGAGATTATGAGAGATTGTCCTGTGGTTTTTTTCTTAGTCATATTGTGTGCCTGATTTTTATAATTGGAAAAGCTTTGCTGGATACAGGCAAAGCAAGGTGACCACCATGTAGGGAAGTAGTCTGGTTTAGGATATTGTGCTCTAAACAGAGTGAGGAAAGTGTGTGTAGGTACAAGGGCTAAGGAGTTACAACTTCAGCCCAAGAGGCAAGTAGTCAAGTTTGAGCACTGTGTGGTGAGGGTCATAGGCCAAGCAGAGCAAAAAGGGTATATATTTGAGGATAGGGCCTATGGAGGCCATAGAGTGCATCCCTGCAGGTGAGCAGGATGAAGGAGGACCCTGCAGGAGAGATGTTCCAACACTAGGACCTAAATGAAGTAAAGAGGGCATTCATGTGTAGAAGTTACTGACAATGATGGTTATACATTGTGGGGAGAGGGATGTTAGTAAAAATATTCAGGATGAAATTTGGTAAAAGGAGATACAAATTATGGAAAGGGAAGCTGGACATGGTAGCACATGCCTGTAATTCCAGCATTCGAGAGGCTGAAGCAGGAGGATTGCAATAAGTTTAAGGCCAGAGTGAGTGAGAGAGACACTGTTTCAAATAACAACAACAAATTATGAAAAGGGAGAAACTACTGTGAACCCTGTGGTATTGCGTTGAAGCAGGTTTCAGAGTGAACTCATGATTTCCAATTTATAGAAAGATAGATATGAAATTATAGTTATATAGACACATGCAAATGCATATGTATTGTACTAGGAAGAGAGACTCAAAAAACAAGAAATGTCTAGAAGGATACACAGTCAGGCTTGAAGAGGCTCCCAGTGGCCAAATCTGGAGCAATATAAGTAGGAAAAGGAAGAAAATAATTGACTATATTGCATTGAGTAAGATGAGAATCAGAGTCCATACTGATAAAAGTGAATAAATTGAAAGTTTGATAAGGAATAGTTTATTCAAAAGTTTCAAAATATCCCACAAAAGCAGTTACCGGTTAAAGAATTTTACAGAGGGGGCTGGTGAGATGGCTCAGTGGTCTAAAGCACCTACTTAGAACAAGCTAAGCTAAGCAAAACACAGGGACCGCGGTTCAATCCCCAGCACCACATGCCAGCCAGGCCCGCCCCCTGGTGGGCTGAGCTGGCCACACACACACTAAATAAATAAATAAATAAATATTTAAAAAAAAAAAAAAAGAATTTTACAGAGGAAGCCATGAAAACATCAGTGATCAAAACGAACAACATCTGTGAGGAGACAAATAGGAATTGTGTACCATGCCATAGAATGCATGGTAGCCTTTTTGTGATACTTGTGACAGAGTGACTAAGGGTCGAGGATATAGCTCACTGGTTAAGTACTTGACTGAAGTCTAAGAAAGATCAAGAAATTTATTTCAGACTGAAGACTAAAGATACATGAACTGGGGCTGAGGCGTTAGCTCAGCGGTCTAAGCACCTGCCTGACAAACGCAAGGACCCAGATTCGATCCATGGTACCTACCACATGTGGTGCCAGCCACTGAAACCAGGAATGGTGGCTCACACTGGTTATGCCCGCTCGGGGGAGGCTGAGACAGGAAGATCATTGAGTCCGAGCTACATAGTGAAACCCTGTACCAAAGAAATGAATGAATGATTTTTTTTTTTTTTTAAAGAAGATACATTGACTAAGCAAAACTGGCATTATGTAGGATCCTTCTGCAACACTAGCTAAGCTTAGTGAGGCTTGAGGACTGTGTGGTGGTATATATCAATGTTGATTTTCTGGTTTGAGCACTTTATAGGAGTATGTCTTTATTTGTAAAATACAAACAAATATTCCAGAGTGACAGGTCATCAAATTGATAGCTTACTCAAATATTTCAGGAAAAAGTATATTGTACATAACTTAAATTATTTTGTGTAATTATTTCAAGTCAGGTATGGTGGTGCATACCTGTAATCCCAGTACTGTGGAGAGCTGAGCAGGAAGATTGTGAGTTCAAGCCTATCGTGGGCTATTTAGAGACCTAGCAAGACCCTGTCCCAAAAATAAAATATAAAAAAGGTCTGGGAATGTAGCTCAGTGTAGAGGCCCTGGGTTTAATCCTAACTACTACTACAAAAAAAAAAAAAAAAAAAAACATAATTATTTCAAAAATCCAACCATAACATAAAAAATTTTAAAAGCAAACATCAGCCAAACTTTAAATATATTTTCAACTAAAAAATTTTAAAGCTAAAGAACCCTTCTTAGCTGTTTGTGGTGGTATAAACTTATAATCTTAACACTTGGGAGGCTAAGGCAGGAGGACTGAGAATTCACACCCAGCCTGTACTACATAGGGAGTTCAAGGTTGGCCTGGACTACCTACTCAGACCCTGTCTCAAAAAACTGTTCTAAATACAGTTTAAAAGCATGGTTATTTATGTATATAGTTTGAAACTTAAATCTGTATTCCAGTTAATTGACCCAAGCCAGGTGTCTTGGAGCGTGCCTGTTATCCCAGCACTTAGCCAGCTGAAGCAAGAGGATCACTATAAGTTTGAGGCTAGTGTGGGCTACAAAGTGAGTTCAGGGCCAGCCTGGACTACATAATAAGACCCTGATTAGGAAAAAAAAAAAAGATAAGGGTCAAATTAATTGATCCATAACACACTTTAGTGTTGAAAGAATAAACATAGGGAAGATTTTATCATGTTTGCTTCAGAAATATTTTAACGTTTATCTTCAAATTCTAGTAATCTAAACTATCTTAATCTTATTTTATGATGGACCACTAGATTATCAGAAAACTAAAGTTGCTATGATAATATTTAAAATAGTTTATAGTTGGGTGTAGTGGCATACAGCTGTTATCCCAGCACTCAGGAGGCTGAGACAGCAGGTTCACTCCAAGGCCAATCTGAACTACAAAGCGAGACCCTGTCTCAAGAAAACAAACAATGGTTTACGCAGCAGTTTTATAACCACTATATATTATTTGATCCTAATAGTTGACAATAATTGGCAATCCTAGTATCTTACAATAGATGTGATTCTTACTTCATAGAGGAGCTAGAAGAAGACATTGTCTCACCAGTGCCTCTGTGACTTGAGACCTGATTTAATCCTGCTGCTTCAAACTCTGATCCTAACCTGCTTTGATCATGTGATCACTCAGGGTCTGTTTCTGCATCAGAAAAATGAAAAGGTTGAACTCTGTGATCTTCAAGTTCCGTTCTAACTTTAAAATTCTAAAATTCAGTCCACTAATAAAAGTAACAACAGCAAAATTACAGAATAACTGATAGCAAAATTATAGAATAACTGACAATAATCTTAACTAGAAAAGTAAGTTGTATCACTTGGATGGAAAAAGATATAAACTACAAACCATTTTTTTTGGTTGACTTGAATGTGAGTTAATTTTCCCATTTACCTTTTTTAAAATCTTCTAATTCAGGTCCATTAATGAATAGAATTTCAGTGTGATGCTTAGGAGTTTGCAGAAAAGAAGTTTATTTAGGAAAGCTGCATTATTAGCAAATCTGCAGCCTCTTTCCTGAGGTTTTTTCCTTTTGGTGGTTGTTGTTCCAAGGTTTCCATTGTTCTTTTTAATGAGGGGAAAAACAGATGGGTTTGGAAGACATTTTTCCTTATTAAATGAAGAGATCCCTGCCCCTCCCTGTAGCTTGAGGCACTCTTAAGGAAAATGGGCATTTCCATGTTTTTTCTTTGGGGATGTGGCTGCGTTGTTACTATGAAGTTATACTTGATGAGGCTGAATTGTGCAGCAGTAGGATGATGTCTTTGTCCTGAAAACACAACATAACAACTCCCTAGCACTTCTCAAAAGAGGAAACTTCTAAAGGAAAGGGAAAGACTGTCACAGTGAATGTTTAGACAGTGAAGCTGATTGTTTTCAAACAAATCTAATTTATGCCTAGTAATGAAGATGTCTTAATAACAGAAAGCAGTCTCATTACCCGTATGCTTCTATTAACCAATTTATTTTGTGTAGATCAGCGGGTAGGACACCATCTGTTACCAGAAATTTTCTTTTCATCAAACTTGCCCCCATTAAGAGTCCTACTTAAGTAATGTCAGCTGCTCTCCATAATAACTCAATTCAGAGATACAGAGAGAGAGAGAGAAAGGCAGCTAAGAGGTTCTTGTAAATTGCACCATCCTCCCTGAGGATTTAATTTAGTCATCTCTCTGGCAAGGAAATTAGTGGGATGAATTTATGTATGATGTAGGGGAAAAGTGTTGAAGAGGGAACTGATGATGGGTGACCCTAGGCAGCTTTAAGGAAATTGTTTAATAGGATTGAAAAGAGTTTTCTGGGGCCGGGGAGATGGCTCAGTGGAATAAGCGATTTCCTGGCAAGCACAAGTGCCTGAGTTCAACCCCAGGTTCTGCCAAAAAAAAAAAAAAAAAAAAAAAAAAAAAAAAAAAGAGTTTTCTGATAGCTTTTTTGGTGAATTTTTATTTCTTCAATATCTCTTTTTCTTAGGCATATTCTAATTATTTAGATACTGTTGATGATTCCCTAACCTATTTTTGGTACTATGAAATATATTTCATGTACATATTGATATATATGTATGTTTATATAATATAAAGTACAGATATACAGTATAAATGTTGATACTATGGCATTGAATTTTTAACTTTTATTATATTAAAGGTCCATGACTCCAGCTCAGGCTGACTTGGAATTTCTGGAGAATGCCAAAAAGTTGTCTATGTATGGAGTTGACCTTCATAAAGCAAAGGTAATAATGACTTTATTCATTTAATGACACAGGCCTGTTATTCATCTATCACACTTGTGACATATATTTCCTATCAACATTTATTTGGGGTATTAAAATCATTTAAAGAATACTAATCCTTGTTGTAATTTTAAGTATATCAGTTGAATTGTCCCTCAGCAATTCTACTATTAGAATAAAGTTTCACACCTAATTATTGTAAAGCTCAAAAGATGTATTAACCAAAGACAGGAATATAACTCAGAAGGCATAAGCACCTGTCTGGCAAGCATAAGGTCCAGAGTTTGATCCCCAGTACCACAAAAAAGCATATTAATTTTTTAGATGAAATAGCCACAACTCTTGTTGTCCTTTACTGATTATAAACATTATTTGTGTGAAAGAAAAGATGTAATAACCAGAGAAAAATTATAAATTTTTAAAATGCAGTTACATTAAAAAATATAAATTGACAGCAAGGCCTACAGTATCATCTATGTCAAAATCACCTGGGGTGTCTATTAAACTAAAATTCCTGAGCTCCTCCCGGAGTTACAGTCTTTCTTTGGAAGAGAAGCTCTAGCGTTTCAGATTTAATGAGCATCCTAATTGATTTTAATACCTGCTTGAGTCTGAGAGTCATTGGCCCAGAGTAATGGTTCTCAGAATGTGGTCAGCTGCTTTTAGCACCACCTAAAAACTTGCTGGAGGTGCGTGGTTCAGAGTCCTTCCCACACTGAATCAGAAGCTAGGGGTGGGGAGCTCAGCAGTCTGTTTTAACAAGTTCTCCAAGTGTGATTTTGATGTCTAGCAAATGAACTACAGTTGTTCATTTGAGAATCATTAGATTAGGATATGGAAATTTGATCCCTTCCACACACACACACACACACACACACACACACGCACACACACCCAATATTGGGGATTGAACCCAGGGCCTTCCACACTGAGGTAATACCTCCAGCCTTTTTTATTATTTTGAGACAATCTACCTGAGTTTTCTGTGTAGGACTCAAATGTTCAGTTCTTCTGCCTCAGCCTCCTAAATACTAGAATTATGGGTGCTTTATATTTTGCCTAACAGAGTGAATACTTGAGACAAGTTGCTCAGTTCCTTTCCTATTCAGTTAGTAGACTGGCTGGGGATGTTGAGATCATGAGGAACAGGACTCTCGGGAATAATCAGAAGTTCATTCAGAGGAAATTAACTAGTGTATATAATGAGCAAACTCAAAACCATATCCAGTAGGACACAATCAAAGGAACCAGGGTACTTAGCTCCCAAATAGGAAAGTTCTAGGAAGATGTAATATCTGTCTTGGTGTATTAAAAAGAATGGCATGTGAAGCAGAGATTTTACCATGGCTTCAAGATATAAACCTAGAAGTAGTGAAATAGACGCTATAGGGAAATATGTTGTTCAGCTCAGTTTGACAAATTGTGTAGCCAATCTTTCTCAAAGATGGAGTGGGCTAATAACCGCCAAGGGTTCTGAGCTCCCTGCAGGTATTCCAGGGAAGATAGACTAGTCACTTGGTTGAAATTTAGAAGAGGACATTCAAGCATCTGGCCTGTTACTGGACTAGAATGACCTTCTAGGGCTTCCCTACCTTGAATATCCATTTCTTTCTTGAGTTCCTAAAATTTCAATGTATGTTTGTAGTTTTTTTTAAGTATGTTGCTCTGGATTATGTTAGGCTGGGTGCTCTAATTTCTATGAAGCTTTAAAGTAGATGGTAGGAATATCAGTGTATTAGATAAGGTGTATGTCCAGAACTAAAAGTGTTAGGTTTTACTTATTTCCTGCTAGAGATTGGTGTCAATCAGGAATGAGTGGAGTCAGACAGTATGTTCCTTTCCCAAATGTTATAGAGCAGATTGTTTACTCTATAAAAAGAGATACAATTATACCCACAGGGTTTAAAAACTTAAGAGGGCATCTTCTGTTAAGTTTTCAGTTACATAGTTATTCAATCAAAGTTGCATATAATTTCTACATCTTTGTGCTTGTGTATAACATTGATGGGCACTAATACTTTTCTCTAATCATTTCTGGAAAAAGAGTAGTCAAGAAGCATCTAACTCTGGGTTTTAATTATTTTTTAAAATATATTTTTATTTATTTGATATATGGTCTTGCTACGCAGTAAGCATCCTCCTGCCTCAGCCTCCCCAGTGCTGGGATTACAGGTGTGCGCCACCATACCTGGTTTCAGGGCGAGCACTGTGCTCCCAAGATTCCATGGCCAGCACGGCATGCTGTACCAGGGATCAAAGTCAGGTCCTTGAGCTTGCCAAGCAGGCACTTAGCTGAGCTATCTCCCCAGCCTGGGTTTTAATTATTTAGCTAAGTAGTTATTGGTAGAGGTAATGCAAGTGAAATTTATTTCCTTGAATGACATAAATGATTAATATTTAAATTTTAAAAAAATTATTTACAGGCACATAAACATAGTTTCATTTTGCCTTAATTTTTTTGTCTCTGTGATTATAATTTAATATACTTAACATCAATTATCTTAAGAATCTGATATTCTCTTATGATGAGTTTATACAGGAATAGAGTCAATTCTTAACATCATATCTAAAGAGATTACTACTTTATCATTAAAAAAAAATTCTAATTGTCCGTGTGAATTTGGTAGCATATACCACCCTAAGCCCTGGCTCCAAGAAGTCACATCTGCTAAAAATACCTTCATGGATTATGTTGGTTAGGTTAAGCTTTATTTTTCATCATTGCTTTGAAGCCGCTTTTGTTTGTTAATGTCTTTAGATTATCTAATGTGTTGAGCACTACAGACTAAAATACTGATTTTTTTTTTTTTTTTTTTTAGGACTTGGAAGGAGTGGATATCATCCTAGGTGTCTGCTCTAGCGGCCTTTTGGTTTACAAAGATAAGTTGAGAATTAACCGTTTTCCTTGGCCTAAAGTACTGAAGATCTCTTATAAACGTAGCAGCTTTTTCATCAAGATCCGGCCTGGAGAGGTACAGAATTTGTTTCTTCCCAAACCAAATGTAATGTTTAAGGCATTTCCTCATTCCCATTTTCCTTGTTATGTCATCTAAGAGGTGTTGCTGTATAGCTGAACACTTAAGGGCTTATTAAATTGTTTTCTTTCTTT